CCCACCCACTGAGACAGTGGGGCTGATCTATTGGGAGCTCACCAAGGCCAGCTGGACTGTGACTGAAAAAGCATGGGATAAAACCGGACTCTCTGATCATGGCGAACAATGAGGACTGATGAGAAGCCAAGGTCAATGGCAAGGGGTTTTGATCCTACTTCATGATACGGCTTGGTGGGAGCCTAGCCAGTTTGAATGTTCACCTTCCTAGACATGGACGGAGAGGGGAGGTCCTTGGACTTTCCACAGGGCAGGGAACCATGACTGTTCTTTGGATTGGAGAGGGAGGGGGAGAGGAGTGGGGGGAGGGAGAGAAGAGTGGGGGGAAGGGGGAGGGAAATGGGAGGCTGGGAGGAGGCGGAAACTTTTTTTTTCCCATTCTCAATAAAATAAAAAAAATAGTTGTAGGGGCTAGAGAGATAGGTCTGTGATTAAGAGCATGCAGGGGGGCCTGAGTTTAACTCCCAGAATCCACTAGTATCTCACAACCATCTATAACTCCAGTTCCAGAAAACTCAGCGCCCCCTTCTGGCCTCCACTGGTACTTTACTCACACAGATACACACATACACACAAAGAACTCATAAAATAAATCTTTAAAAATAAACAACTGAAAATAACAATGATTTTAAGTTTTGAATAGCATGTTCTTCTATTTTCAATTATTTATTATTGATGACTGGTATCAATTTGGCATACCTCTTCAGTGCCTGGTGATTATGGAGAGGTGAATGAAGACTAAAGGTTCCTACGTTCCATCAACCCAACACTTTGCAAAGGAACAGCAATAACCTCGTCTTTGGTTTGAACACACATGGGTTGAAGTCATCTGAAGTAAGCTCGCTTAAGTTTTCCTAATTAATTCCAGTATTTGGCTATTAGATTACCAATGCCTGTGTTATAAACCACATTCTCCAAAATGAGACCTCTGTGAAATAAGGAACATACCTGTCACTTTTCTTCTTGCTGAATTTTCAAATATTTTGTTTATAGCTGAAGATAAACTGCCACAGCTCAGAGGCGCACTCTCAGAGATACTCGGCTAAAATTAATGTTAAAATTAGTTGCATAAATTTTTTATCCCTTGAAAGATATGTGACTTGGTCATTTTCTAAGCAATTATACAAAAAAAAAGGGGGGGATGTGTTTAAAATCTCAGTGTTTCAGTATCGAACCTTATACATGCCTCTGCATCAGGCCCATCTTTGTGGCTTTATGTGCAAACTTTATAGGGCTAACAATCCCACAAACCAGACAAGGTAATTTATAGAAAAAAAATATTCATAGGCAAGACTCTTACTTGCGTGCATACTTCCAGAGAGGAGCTACAGGCATAGCACCTAACTCTAAGATTCCACATTGGAAACAAGGGGGCATTTTAAACATGTGCATGCATAAACACAGGCAACCAAGGGATGCTGAGAGAGGGGGAAACAGTCTTCCCCAGAGAAGAACAGACCAATTAGCTACCCACATAAGCAACACAATACAAACCGAGAAAATTGTATTTGTATGTTTAGGAATACACACAGAGATATAGTGTAACAACAATATTTTAAGGAGACCATGAATTTGAAAGAGAGAGCAGGGAGGTACATGGGAGACTTTGAAGGGGGAAAGAGGATGGGGCAATGATGTATTTATAACCTAAAAAAAATAACGTATTTTTTAAAATATGAAATTAAACTTTTGCTATGTGATTAGTATGAGTTTCTGCATTTAGAACTGGATTTTAAATGCAATTCTTTTATTTAAATTTTTTTATTTTACATACCTCCCCCAGTTCCCCCTCCCTTCTCATCTCCCAACTCCCCTCCTCCCCCACATTCCCCCCCCCCAGAACTGGACTTTGTTTGAAGCAAAACATAACAACTTTGACCACATAAGCAGCTTTCCTTGCACTCCTCATAAAATGGCTTAGAAAATGCCCAATATTCCCTAAAACACAAACTTTGAGAAACAGATTTTTAAGTTCTAGATTTTCACATTTCTAATACTGATACAGTTTAAATACAGAATCAAAGATAAAAATAGAGGACACACTCTTCTAAAAGATTACAGAATGCCAAAATTCAAAGTGTCCTTAAAAGAAAACATAACAAAAATCAAAAAGACAAGAAACATGAATTTTTTAAAAGATAAATTTAAAATGTAAAAAAAAACAATTCTGCTAGATGCTCTGTGGTGTTGAACCTAAAGGCATCATGGAAATTGATTACTATAATAACACACTGAGTATATTAAAGATTCACTTGACCATTATCAGTCATGTTAATATTAAAGTCACAGTAAGCTACGTTTATCCAAATAATCATTGACAAAATGTCAAATATTCTCTATTATTGGAAGCCTACTGCTAATACAATTTCTCTTGGGCTCTGTATTTTCACCCCATTTCCCCACAGCCTCCCAGTAGTTGCCTTTTCACTGATTGCCACATTGACAATTGCTGTCTGTGGCTGCTCACAATCTTATTTCTGCTGATTGACTTTCCATGTGCTGAAATGGCATCTGGACCGCTACTAAACCTTAAGAGTAAAACAAAAGCAAACCTGGCACAAGGAAGCGCACTCCGCAGAGGGGCCTTTGACCTTGGCGTCACAGCTACACTCCTCTTCCTTCACGACAGGCAAGGGGAGCCCGGGACTACAACAACCGGAAATCCTACAGAGCAAATTATGCAGCAGATATGGGTGGGCACAATTCTGAAAATTTTAGTTGACCGAATTTTTTAAAACAGAAGCAAAGGAAGAAGAAAGAAAACAGAGAAGTTGATTTACAGAGAAAAGGTTATTGTCACCATAGAAAGAGAGAGGAGGAGGAGGAAGAGGAAGAGGAGGTAAAACAAAAATGTCATTGAACTATGTATAGAAGCTTAAAGGAGAAACAAAAGTGAAAAATCAGTGAATAGGGAAATTAATTTCCAAGTATCCTCTAAAAAGGTGTTAAATATAATATGTATCACATGCTATGCATACAGATGTAGTCTTCACTCCCCGACAAGAACATCCTCTCCTGGTGTGTTCCTATTGTCCAGAGTGCATCCAAGCAAAGTGTGCCAGACAATTGCTGGTACTCAAGACAGGGTACTGGCTGGCACTGTGATTATCAAAATTTTAGATCAAAATTATCAAAATTGTTGGGGGTGTATCTGCACTTGTCAAGAAAGTCCTAAAGGAGCTCCTATATAAACTTGACTTTTGTTATTGATCTGACATAGAGTTTATCAAGATCTCAGGGCTCCCCAGGTCCTTGCCAACCTGTGGATAAGCAAAAGCATGAATGAGGGAGCCAAGCCAAATAGGAGTCAAATCATAGGCATGGGATCCCAGCTACAGTGCCTACTTAGTGAAGAATAAATAGCTATCAAAGCACATAGTTTGAATGTCTACTGTGAGAAATATGATAAAGAACAGTGTTTAAATATAAAGCATGATGTTGTGCTTTATATTTAGATAGATTATATACATATATATTAGAGTAGAATGCTAAACAAATATTTATTTCTCATTATTCCAGCACTTCAATAGCATACAGATTTTATCAACATGTAAAACTTACCTGGCCAATGAGTCATTTCCAGAATCCATTTGTTCTACTAAATAAAAATATAAAATGCATTTTAAACAAATGAAAGAAAAGTATCAGATATTAAAAATCTATGACTCAGATTTTCTAGAGAACATTCATTTGGAAACACACCATGACAATCTTGTACAGTAGATATGACTTGTACAGCTGAAGGAGCAATCGGTGCGTTAAGACCATTTCTGTTGTTAATATTTATGGAACACAAGGAGTAAGAAAATGTATGAAGTTCATGAACGTTCGGTGTGTGTACAATGACCATAATCCTAAGAAACTAGTATGAGACCTACTTAAAATGTTGTCATTATGTTATAAACTGAGAGTGTCAAGCAAACTGCATGATATATCTGAACTAACAGTATGAGGAACATTAATAAAGGAATATAATCGACAGCTATACCACCCTGAACACTCCTAATCTCATCTAATTATCTTATTATAACAGAATAGTAATCCGTTGAGTTTCTCAGTTTGGGATGACTATACTATCCCAATGACACTAATCTAAGGACGTGACATCCTGCAGGGGTCGGGTTCAAAACACAAAAGGGAACCAAGTGCAAGGGCCGGGCAAAGACCATCCACATGCTAATAGAGTTTAAGAGTCCCCTGTGTGGTGCTTGTTCTATCTAATCCCCCCCTTTTTTTTTTACTTTATATTTATTCGTTGTGCCTTTCACATCCTGAATCTGATTCATGTGCATGCTCATGGCATGTTTTCATAAGCATAAAAATGTTTTCATTTTTAAAAAATATGTAAATAAAGTGTCCGAGGGTCCCTGAAGAAAAAGTATCCTAAGAGGCACTAAGTTCCTCAGCAATGTCCTCCTCTGTGGCCACAATCCTGGCAGGTAGTAGATCAGGAAGTAAGGGCAACCCCAGATCTTTCACCTGGAGGTGGAAGCCTAGAACCTCTACTGGCAGAGCATGCCCTACGTGATAGCAGAGCAGAAGAACGGCCATGCCTCAGAGTGCAGGGTCCAGACTTTTGAGGCCATCAAGACAGAGACCTTCCAAGTTCCCCAATCATTCATATGTTGGAGACCAGTTAGGGCATATCAACATCATGAAGAAATGGTCCTAAACCCAAAGCTATCTTTCTTTATGTTTATAAATACCAGACCGCTCTGTCCTTACCTGATCCTGGAGCTGAAAAACTGTGAGTTATATAACAGTGTGACCTCTTCGACAAGAATCTTATGAAAACAAGCATATTTAATAGATACATATGGCTTTTGATATGAAAATTTTTTGTCATTATAACATCTGATGATGAAAAATAGGAGTGGGGGCTGGAGGTAAAGTTAATTACGTAGCACTTACGGAAAGAGCAGGAGATCTTGGAGTCAATCCCTAGTTCCACAAAAACAAAGATGCTGATTACTTCTGGTTTTTTCTCTACCTCTGTCTTTGCTTCTCTGTCTCGCTGTCTCTCTCTCACACACACACACACACACGCACGCTTGCTCTTGCTCTCTCCCATGAAACACACATATCCATGGATTTGGGGGCTGTCTCTGTGCATAAGTCACTTGCGTGTGATATCCAGAGATCGATATCAGGGTTTTCCTCAATGACTCTGCACGTGATTTTTTTTTCTGAGACAAGGTCACGCTTCTCGTTGTAACCCTCATGTAATTATTATCTGAGATCATACTGTAGACTATCCAGAAAGAATTTAAATAGAGGTAAATGCATTTTTCCACTCCTTTTAATGAAAACTTTCTTAGTTCGACATTTTTTGTGTATGGCAGGACTGCAAAGAGCAACTCGTTATAAGACTTACCTGGTTCATTATCTTTTTTGTTATTATGTATGTTTTCCTCGAAATCCAGAAGCATCTGTCTACTGTCATGTGAAAAATAATAAATACAATTATTATTTTAATACTTATTTGTGGATGGACAGTTAAAAGAAATCCCACACTAGCTCAGAATTGAGAAATAGATGGTTATTTATTTAGGGGTAGAATCACAAATCAGAATACTCTTATTGAACGGAGATCAGAAAACAAATTCCTCAACCAGAACAGAGAGACCGGAAAAGAGGCCGGACACATGCTCTACATCGGCATATATAGTAGAAGAGGCCACACCCCAGTGGGCAGGTAACCCCTAGATGTTAAGACTTCCTACATCACTTATTTAAAAAAAAACATTTTTGCATATTTGGTTCTTAAGAATATTACAGGGGTTAGGGATTTAAGTCCATTGGCAGAGTATTTTCTAGCAAGCACTAAGCCTGGGGTTCCAGCTCTAGCATCACATAGCGGCACACACCTGAAACCACAGCTTGTAGGAGGTGGAGGCAGAAAGATCAAGAGGTTCAAATTTATCCTCAGACACATAGCAAACTCAAAGCTACACGGGGCACATGAAACCCTGTCTCTAAATAGAAACTATTACTGAAAATAGTAGAGGACCTACTAGAAGTTTTTACCCCATGCTTGAAACTTACGGGCTCTAAATCTTGTAATTAAGCCTATGATGAAGAAGAAGAAGAAATGAAGTAAAAAAGTGCATTAAATAGGAGAAATAAAGCTTAAGGCATAGACTGGATTGGCTCACAAGCAGTGAAGTACCCTGATCTCAGAAGACATCCCCACTCCATAACTAACAGCTGTCAACTACTGCACAAGTTGTTCCCCACAGACATTAAGTAAAAAGGAAAAAAATAAGGATTGTGCTGTTTGAGTTTCTTTTAAGATTTTATTGGATAGTATTAAAACATGTACAGGGAAATAAAACAACAAAGTATTTTATGATGTTGAGTTCTTTCTAAACTTCAAATGTGTGGAAGATTCAAATATTACAACTGTTTGGAAAATGTTAAGCCCTCGTTTAGATTATCAGCTAATTAGTATTGTGGCGTGTGATTCAGAGAAAATGAATTGTTTAACGGTTTGACACTAAGTACTTCATGATTTGTTACTTCCTTAATCACATGACTGGAGAGTGAATCCACCCCAAGACCTGATTCTTCGCTTTCCTCTTCATCCTCCCCTGCCTATTTTAAATCATCGTATTTACCTCCAAATGACTCATAAAACAAAACTCTTTTTTGCATGTAGATACTAATAAAAGCTGATGTGGTCTTGCTCTCTTAAGTCCAACTGGTCTTTGGATCCAGAGACGTGCTTAGCTGCTTCTTGTGAGGAAGAATTTAAAAATCTCTGTAAACATGAGACCAGGGCTGAAATAACCTGGGAAGTTGGTACTACTTATAGACAAAAGGAGAGAGAGAATCATTTGAGTGCCTGCCCAAGAAAAAGTCAACAGCAACCCTAAACATGTTGCTATAGGGCATCCAAGCATCCAGAAAAAGGTGCACAGAAGATATAATAGGGCCTCTGGTGCAGTATATGACAGGGTCTGGTATTAATCAATAGAGGAACCTTGTGATTTTTCTGCAACATGATTTGAACTTTTATACAGTTCATATTTGTCATCAGAAAGACACACAAATTTCTCAATGTGAATTGATTGCAAAGGTCAAAGCTAACAGGTGGGTTCTATGTGAGATGCTGAATGGGTGGGAAGGGTCAGATTTCTAATGATGTATGTAGTAGAAGCTAAGAAAGTCCCATTGCCAGAAGAATGTGGCTTGAGAATATAGCTGAGTTTAAAAACACAAGTACACATGAACTTGAGGTACTGTAACTTTCAGTTTCGAGTGTATATTATCATAAAGGCTTAGAAGTCTGGCTCAGTATAGACAACATGGTAGCTAAGATTAACTGCTATCAAATTTCAGGGCATGTTTTAATAGTGATGGAACCAACAGAAACAAAGAATTCTAGGTTATCCTCTTCCTTCCTCTCCATCTGACATTTCGAAGAAAATTGGCTTCCTTGAACCTAAGAATCCCTCCAGCTACTGAGAAGTCAAGGAGGAGGGTACAGAAGACAACTCCCCCAGGAAATCAACACAACTGTCTACTGAACTGGGCATTTCAAGATCCAAGCAGCTACTTGAAAAAAAATCAAAAATAGATACTCTTTTTTGTTTTATTTCCTTATAAAGAAAAACATTTAATTGAGGTGATCTCTTACAGCTTCAGAGGCTCAGTCCATTACCATGGTGGGGAGCATGGCGACTGGGCATTTGGTGGTGTGCAGGCAGACATAGTGCTGGGAGAGTTCTACATCTTGATCCAAAGGCAACAGGAAGGGAACTGAACTGAGACACTGGGTATGGCTTGAGCAAATATGAAACCTCAAAGTTTTTCACCTCCACAGTGACATAGTTCTTCCAACACTAAGTCACTTCCAACAACTAAGTCACAATGGCTAAGTCACTGTCATTCTAAAGCTACCCACACAGTACAATGATGCCACAAGCAGATGATGTAATAGTTGCATTTGATTTTGAACGTCAATATAATTGTAATTAACATGTGAATGGAAATACTTACAAAGTACAATGACCTTCGACAGCGTAGCGTAACGCTGTCCATCCAAAGACATCCTTGTAGAAGAAATCAATGCCTTTTTGAAGGAGTAACATGGCTATATCTTTTGATCCACATCGTATAGCATACATCAAGGTGTTTCTGAAATAGCAGAGGGATAGATTCACTATTATGAAATAAATGAAATTAGTTAAATCTGCATAGATTTGTCTTACCAACTTAGTATCTCGCCTGCCTGTCTAGAATTGACCATTTTCTAACAGACACAGCATCATGGACCCACAACTGTTCCTCGTTGTGAGGCTATCTCCTAGGATAAAGAATAAATATCTTCTCCCCTTGATCTACTTTAGAGTAGAATTCTTGACCTCCTGACATTTAAAAAACAAATTGCTATGTTAAGGTCTTGCATTTGAAGTAGTTAAGGAAGAGTTCACATTTTCCTAGACTAATGGAATATATTACAGCTCTTAATTATCTGAAGATGAAGTAACTCAAAGCTATGTGCATGCTTAGAATGGTAGTAATATGGAAGTACTGATGATAAAATTCATAGTGCTCTCAGTTAATGATATTGATGACCATGTACTGTCCATTGAACTAAGGGATATGTAAATAAATCCTATAACCACTTATCAAGGGTGTTATTGTATGTTTCACATCAGGAGATATATTTGGCCATGAGCATCATTCTGAAGATGACATACCAAGCAACTGGATAGACTGAGAATTAAGTCCAGTCTTGAATGAACCTGAAGTCTCCCCTTTTATCATTCACTTACGACTTATCATCAATAAATTTTATCCAATTAACATTTTTATCTCCCTTCCAATGGCAAATAAATAAAAATGGTTAAAATAAATCAGGGAAGGGAAAGGGGAAAATGAGCATTTAGTAATAACAACTAATATTCACTTAGAGATAACCTGACATTAATATTCTACAAAGAAAAGTAATTCTAAGAGCCATTCCGCACCCTGTAATTTCTGACTCCTATTTGGATGAATATAGTGTCTTAAAGCATGCAAGAAGGAAGTGTGAAGACTATAAGATCTGAGATCTCTTTAGAGAAGTTTTCTTGTGTGGTAAATGATGGTTAATGCAGAACTCACAACTGGTCAAAATGCAGAGAACAGGTGGCTGAAGAGGCCTCCACAGCAAACGAGACATCTACATAGCATCCCTTCCTCAAGGCTTATGGACCATCGGGAAGAGGATGCAAGAGGGTTCTATGAGCCAGAGGTTGAGAAGGAGTGGGGTAAAACAGTGTCTTCTGGGCATGGCAAGTCTGCTGTGGTCAAGGTCAGCTGTGGCTGTCTACACAGGATCAAGCCAATCACTGGCAACCTCTTAGCATGGGTTGGGGAGCCCCTACTCCTAGCTAAAGAACTGTTGACAGCTGATGGTTTCTAGGGGAGGGAGAGTCAGATGTCTTTAACAGTGTGGCTCCTGATATGTCAACCAAGCTCTGGCGGATGGCACCACATCCAGAAGTATATGGGCAGCACAACCTAGAGTAGATACATTATTAATTTTTTTAAACAAGAGGACACAGAGTTAGGGTAGGAAGGTGAGGGATGAACAGACAGGAGTTAAGGTGGACAGCTGGGGTGAGCACGATCAAAATACATGATGTAAGTTCTCAAAGAGTTAATGAAGTCTTTTAAATTAAATAAGTAAAAAAATCTAAAGATAAAAAAGGAAATACCATTAGATGGTTAGCAATCTTACTTTGGATAAAAAAAAAAAAGTCATGCCTCTAGTTCGTACATTTTGAAAACAAATAAAACTCATTTAGCGCATAAGTTCCTAAGATCAAACGACCAACAAAGTCAGATTACAAATAGCAGTCTTCGGTCAGTACTATGAGGCAATGTGACTCACACACAGAGACACGCTTGCACAAATAAAAGATATATATTATTTGTACAGCTCACTTCAAACAATTGCTTTCTTCTCTAACAGACCAAACGGATGCCTGTGTCGATGTCTTCATTGTATCCTTGTGAGTTAGTCCTCTCCTCCAACCAGCCATGCTTCTGAGCTGAGTGGTGGTTACTAGTCCAGAATACTACTGATGTTCCAGTTTTTTTTTTCATTCAAATGACTTTACCTTTGCATGTCATCTACAACATGTATGTCTGCTCCTTTCTTGACTAAAAATTCTGCCACCTCTACCCTCTTTTCTCTGAGTGCCAGCAACAGTGGTGTGAAGCCATCCTGCAAAACAACAAAACCAATCTGTAATTCAAAAAGGTGCATGTTTGCAGCTTACCTACAGGTCTTAGAGGGCCGTACAAATAAAAACGGATAAAAGCATGAAATCACAGGGGCTAAACCATCCTTCCTTCTAACAGTGCCGCCTTTCACTTCCTCCGTTTCCCTTCTGTGACATCTCCTCTCCTGCCAAGAGTGTTCACGTGAACCTAACCCTTCCCAGTGCCCACTTCAAACCTATATTTCTACCTCAAATATTTGTTTCTGTTACAGCATTTATTCTTTGAAGTCATGTGATTGCTCCCATATAAGCTAAAAGCTTCTTAAGGATAGGGGCTGCATCTTCTTTACATCAAGAAACCAAACCCCACACAATGGCAAAGGAGTTCATAAGTTAGTGAGTCAATGGCCAAATTTTCGTTTCTATAGCAAGATTTTAAAGTAAGTATACTTGGATCTAAGACAATATGGCTGCCTTCTGCATGGGCACCCAACAGTACAAGTCTCAGGTAAGACAGGGCTTAATTCTTTAGGGAGCAATGTGAAGTTCAGGTTTTGCAGAGATTTCCTAAAGCTTAACAGTGGGTTCAAAGAAAATTCAGCATAGCCAAAGCCTCTTTGAGCCCATTTTCTCTGTGCTTTCATTGTTGCTGGGGGGGGGGGAGTATTTTCCAGTGGCTCTGTACAAAGCAAATGTGTTTAGAAAGATCAATATCCCAAAATGTAATCAAAAACAAAAAATACCAGGCAGAGGTGGCACACGCCTTTAATCCCAGCACTCAGGAGGCAGAGGCAGATGGATCTCTCTGAGTTCGAGGCTAGCCTGGTCTATAAGAGTGAGTTCCAGGCTCCAAAGCTACAGAGAAACCCTGTCTCAAAAAAAAATAAATAAATAAACTTTGTAATTCTTAGTTCTTCCTGCCCTTGGTAATTTATATTCCACTCGTATTCAATTCTCCTGGTTTCACAAAATAATTGCTAGTCACATAGAAGCTGAAGTTAAATGAGTCCTGTGGACTTCGTAATGTGTGTGTGTGTGTGTACATAAGTGTGCATGTATGCTTACAAGTGCCAGACTGATAATGCCAGGGCTCTATCAACTGAACACCTTCACTGAGATTGGCTACCAGACAGACAACTGTTCTTTAAGTGACAAGGTGATTCATGGTTTCCCATCTTCTAATAGAGAAACCCTGTTTGTAATTCACATCTTGGGCTCTGTTAACTTGAATAATGTGGTGGCAAGAAACCTTTAAAAAACACAGCCTCTACTTACTAAATTGTCCAGAGACCTTCTAAGTAGTACATTATTATTGGTGGCTACAAGAAAAGTGGTTTATTCTGTAAACCAGCAGTCATTGCTGATTGTGATAGTTAGCTTAGACTGTCGGCTTGGCACAACTTAGACTCAACCCAGGAAGAGAATCTCAGTGCCTACACTGGGTTGGCCTGTGTGTGTGATTGTCTTAATTAATGTGGAAAGACCCAGCCTACTGTGACTGCCACCATTCCCTAGATAGAAGCTCCAAGACTGCAGAAGAGTGAAGAATTCAAGCCCTGCACGAGCAAGTGGATATCCAGGCATTCCCTTCTCTCTGCCTTTGACTATAGAGGTTACGGGACCAGCTGACCCAAGCATCCGATGCAGTGAACTCCCAGAAATGCTGGACCTAGAACTGTGAACTAAAATAAACCCCTTTGCCCCTAAGTTGCTTTTCTGTCAGGTATTTTGTCGTAGTGATGGAAATGAAACTACTTGATAATAATGCTCCATATTTTGCTTCTCAACACAAAAGGAAAGTTAGGGCAGCACTATTGGGAAAGACACATTGGCAGGAAGTAGCATCTAACAACATCTGGTCAAATTCTAGATCTTCTAGAGATGTCAGGATTTTAGAACCCAGGACTACCTATGTTTCAGCTATCTACTTAGGGTTTCTTTCCTAAGCTAGAAGTTGTTTCAGAAAATTCCAAGGAAATGTTTTCAGAGATGCATGCCGGTTACTTATTAGATGTACTGAATCAAAATCCACACAACTATGTCTGAGAAGTAGAGCCATGCAAACAGAACTTCAGTTCATCTATATGGATATGCATAATTCTCCTCAGCATTCTGACTAAAAGTTTTTTGACTAAAAGGACTCAGTCACTAAAAACAGGAAGCATGTTATCCAACACATTACTCAGAATGCAACAAAATTTCAATATAAAAAAAAGGCAAACTTAAATAGCCTCTCACCCAGCAAGCAATGGCAGATTTGAGGACAGGGTATAGTCTTTCCCTAAGTGGATGCCTCTTCCAGAATATATACTAGCAAACTGTTTGATCCTCCTCTAGTTTTCAACATAATTATTGCTTAGGTACTACCAGTCTCATTTCTCCAGAGTCCCCAGCTGATCCCTAGACATGTTTGTACTTAGTTTTCTTGCTCAAACTACGAATTACTACCTTCAACACGGAGAAACGCCATATCAGCACACAATAACTGATTTATTTTTAATCCCTCTTGCTTTATTCCCTCAGAGTTAATTTCTCATTTAATTCTAATTTCCAGATGCACATTTCTGATTAATTTCCCTCTGCATCTTTTCTTCAACCTTAGGCCACTTGACAAGAGTTTGTCAAGAGCATCACGATTTCCATTTTACAAAAATGCTTTTGTTGTCTTCGAGTTTTAAGATGGAGCCATTCCCAAAGTAAACTCTGCTGTTTACTCAGGCAGCTTTGGAAAAGTCAAGGGAAATGGTGAGGGAAAAAGATAAAAATGAGGAAGTTTTACGTTTCTCAAATATTTCACATTAAATGTGTAAGAGAAAGTTGTGCATCAAATGTTTCTTTCTAAGTACAGATGTTAGACTCACCGCTTCTACAGCTGAGTCCTTTCCAAGTATTTCCACTCAGGAAATGCTTGGGTTTCTAGATATAAAATGTTCCCCACCGCCCAGCTTTGCCACTATCAAAACATGTATTTCAGATGTTTCAGGATTAAAATGTGGTGAACTGTACTTTGGTCTTTTGTTCGATATTGGCGTGGTATTCAAGCAGTAGTGCGGCCATGTCTTTGTGCCCGTTGTACACAGCATAGTGCAGGGCGCAGTTGCCGCTGCTATCCCGAATGTTCGGATCAGCGCCGTGCTCCAGGAGGACGGCTGCACACTTCTGTTTCCAGCATTGGACAGACTGCATTTTATAACAAAAAAAAAGTAGACTGTCAGCTCAAGGAATTCAAGGTTATCATCCCACAACTTTCATCAGCAAGCTACCTGTCCGTGGAGGTAGCGTTCTTTCCGTCCCAGTCACTTGGATCACACCTAGCTTATGCAGAAATCAATGCCTGCTACCTACCTTCATCAGAGGTGTGATTTGTCTCTTGTCAAAAGCATCGATCTCACAATTGTTTTTCAATAGAATGTTCACCACTGGGAGCCGGCCATAGACACAGGCAAAATGCAAAGCTGTCCTGTGGAAATGAGAGTTTTTCTGATGGTGGAGAGCAGTCTCAAAATCCACAATTATTCATGCAATTATAGGTGAGCCATGGATAGATCACATGACCTACTTCCTCTAGACAAGTGCTCTGCCATAGAGTTGCTCATTTGAATCACCCAGAACAGCTTGTTTGGACAGAAAAACAGCATGGCTGGATAAAAATGATTTTTGTCTCATTTTCCTTTCTTTGTCAAAAAGAAAATTAATTGTATTGTTGCTGTTTTGCTTTATATTTTGGTTTCCATTTTCATGTTTTTATGGGGCTTCGTTCTTATGGGGGTTTGGGGGTTGTTTTTTAGTTTGGCTTTTAAAGAGAGAACGGGTATAGAGTTGGGTAGGTGGTGAGATGGAGCGTCTCTGAGGGCAGCTGGGGAGGGGAAAGCTTGATCTAAGTATACTGCATGAAAAAACATTTTTCATTCCAAAGAAAGAAAGAAAGAAAGAAAGAAAGAAAGAAAGAAAGAAATCACCTTTGTATTAAATTCCCCTTGGGTTTAATCCTGCTCTGAGCTAAGACACTTACTAGGTACCTTTCACTTTTCCTGTGCCTCAATTTCCTAACCCATAAAATTAAAACATAAAAGGATATCTAGGTAATTCTCTTGCACACAGCCCTTGACTGACCTGCCTACCCTGGGAAAGAGTGTCCTCTATTAATCTCTGTGTTTGCATCTGTTTTTTTTTCTAATAAATTCTAGTTCTGCTTCATAAACAGATGGCAGGTCTTAGGACACTGTTACAAGAAGCCCCCCTGAGAGGAAGTCGGAAGGAGAAGAAAAGGTCAAGAGGGTGGAGGAGGAACAGGAATAGGAGGAGAAAGGAGGACAAAGAGGGAGAGGAAGAAAAGAGGGAGGAGGTAAAGGAAAAGGGAGAGGAGGAGAAAAAGGAAAAGAGAGAAGGAAATGAGGAGGAAACCGAAGAACGAGAAGAAAGAAGTGAGAGGAACTGCTATTTTTTTCACCATCAGCATGGAAGATCTCCGTGTGGTGCCAGCACCTCAAACACGTGTCCCTTTTCTTAACATGGCACCAAAGATCCGTGTGTATGCTGTGAGTAGAACACAGGCTTCATTTACATCACCCCCAGACCCCAACCAATACTAGGTCTCTGTGAAAGCCGCGACTCTCCAGCCACTGGGACCTCAGTACTTTGGCGTTTGACCACAGCAGACCCAATTGGCAGATCTCTGCTTGTTAGCTCTTTCGAACCACTCAGAAGGAGTCTGGGGAGCAATTAAAGTTCCTGTTTGGCAACTCGGGACCCCTCCTAGGAGTACAGGTGTCAGGTGCAGAGCCCCAGAAGTACCAGCAGACCCCCCCCCCTCCGTCACTGCCCACCCGAGCTCTTGGGGAAGCCAAGTAAAGAGACAGACCTTCTCCCACGCTGGGCAGCACACGAGGTAGACACTTGCCCTCCGTCCCCCATCACCTGTTCTTGTGGTCCCTGTCGAACACGCTGCATTGTCCAAGCATGATGAGAATCTCCATCCGGCCCGCATCTCCCTCCGCGGCAACCCGGTGGATTTGCCCCACGGGTCTGTATGTTGCGTGGTATTTTGGATAGTTGGGAAACTCAGAGACAGTCATTTGGGGACCATCACAGAAACCTAAAGGTGTCTTTTCCCTAACCCTAAAGAACTTCTTGGCAAAGGCCATTGGCTTTACGTCCCTTCCCAAATTATCATCTTTTCTGGTCCCCCAATCCAATATTAGGTCTTAGTAAAAAAAAAAAAAAAAAAAAAAAAAAAAAAAAAAAAAAAAAAAAAAAAAAACAAGACTCGCCAGCAACATTTGCACAAAGGGGCTCGGGACTTAACCGTCTCCCAACCGGAGCCTTGTACAGTTGGGAAAAGCATGGTTGCCAAGCAACACTTCTAAACACAGTGTGCACGTGTGCACGTGCTAGCTTGTACAAAAGACCAAGAGCGCTCGCAGCTCTTGACACCGGTAGCATCTCTGAGACAAAGCTGAAGGTGTTGAGCGGGCAAACAGAAGACAGAGCCAAAGAAAAGGCACTAGGAAACACATAGGCGCAGAGACACAAATTTCACACTCAGAGAAAATCTGTGAAAACACAGAACTGGACATCATAATTTATACCACAAGGACCTACACGGACAAAGAGCCCCAACAGAGCATTGTGTGACAAAGAACCTCCCAAACCGACCTTGAGTTTATTTTGTGTTGGTATAGCATACTGGCATGGAGCCTGCCTGCCCTTAAACATCGTTTTTATTCACAGTGAGACTCCACTGGAGAAAACTAATTTTTTTTTTCTTCTGAGAGCAGTTATCAATTGGGAATAACTTCTTGTTTAGAGATGGGGGCTTTTGACCACTTTCCCCTCTCAGATATCTGTGCATACATATCACACTCACACACACACACACACACACACACACACACCACAGATGAGAGAAGGGAGAGGGGAAAAACTAATAAAATAATTCTTAATAGGAATTGCACATTTCCCCGGCTGTTGCTGGATATTACTTCCTATTTCTATCCTAGGAATCGGCTCTTGTTTAGCCATGTTGTTGATGCGGTCAAAATGAGTGGCGCAGCTCCGGGCAGGAAGGTCAGGCTAACAGTGAAACAGCGAGGCTTCTCTTCCCTTCTTTGCCTCTTCCCACCTTCACCTTCCTTGTTCCTTCTTAACACTTTCAAAACATTGTCTGCTTTACCCGCTTACCAAATGCTTTTCTTTACTTTGGCAGCTTATCCTTGGGTCCCTGAGCTTTTCAAATGGGAGCAAGGAATTTGGGTCTGTGGTTAGACATCTTCTTTGTCCACAGATGGAAAGAAAACAGAATCAGGTGCACAGTTCTCTGGGAGTCACAGAAACATACAGTGCCAAGTCTGGAAGCAGGGTGACAGCAGGTGGTTTCCTACTTTTCTGGAGATATTGTACTCCGTCACTTTACATCAATACTTTAAAAAGAAATTCTAAATACCCAGGGTGTCTCTGAGTTGGGAGAGCACTTAGCCAGCCTGTGAAAGGCCCTAGGCGCAGTCTGCAGCGCTGTATAAACTGGGTGTCGTGGACATCGTGATTCTTACCTATAACCCCATTAATCTGGTGGTGGCAGCAGGGCTTTCAGAAGCTCAGGGTCATTCTCAGCTACGCAACGAACTTCAGTCAAGTCTTGGATGAGTGTAAATAAATCCCCGCATCCCTAAATTAAAAGCAAATAAAATAAATAGATAAAACATGCTTAGGTGGGAGTGAGGATGCACACTTGCAATCTCAGCACTTAGGAGACTGAGGAAGGAGTGTCTTGTAGTTGAAGCTAACTGGGGCTGCCCAAAGAGTCTGGGGCAAGGGCTGGGATGTGATCAATGTTGAAATGCATGCTAATAAGTGCAAGGCCCTGGGTTCCTTTGCCCAGTGAGGCAAAAAAGGAGGAAAGGGCATAAAATAGAAGACATTCTTACAGCCAATATGTTAGAAAGTTGGAATACAATAAAATTTTTGAAACTCCTTGTTTTTTAAAAATGTATAAACAGTAACACCAATTGGGATGTTATCCTGGATTTAAAAAGGAAACACATTACCTCGCTCTGCCCTAAAAATAAGGGAGTACTTTGGACATAGTTATGTAAGACTGGATGTCTGTCTTTTTTTTTTTTTTGACACAGAAATGCATGAATGAACATTCTTCAGACCTCTTTCCAGCTGTCAACTCGATTTAAATTCAGAAAAAGAAAACAACGTGTCTATGAAAAACGTACGTGGAAAAGGCCTTTAATTATGTATAATTTGTGAATCCACTACAGGATAGCAGAGTCAACGAAATAAATGCTATTTTAAACAAGTGCTAACGCTGACCTTCAGAAGAATCCAGTATGCTCACCTGTCCCACCGTATGCATGAAATGGAACCAATACACCAAGTAATCAAAATAGTGGTGATTTGGAGCCTCAGAAGAAACACAAAATTGCTAACTGCCAATCGTAGAAGGAGCTCAAATTGGCCCTATCATCTTCCTGCGCCCCAGTCACCGCACTGGTCCTTTAAATTCTTTCTGTTAATCCCCCCGCCATCGCTATTGTGAGACAAGACATCATTTTAGAAGTGAAGACAGTGACAATCCAAGAGGTTAAATAACTTTCCTAAAACTCCCTCAGAGCTCGAAAGTGGCTGAGCTAGAATTCCAATCTGGATCCATCTGGATCTAAGCAAACACTCTCAAATCCCTGGAAAGGCTTTTAGAGACATGAATACTTTATACATTGAATGTGCTTAAAGTCCTTTCCGATCTAGGTCATGGTCAGCACCACTTCCACTTTCCTTCCCCTTGGCTCCTCCCCTGTCCACAGAGCTGGGAAGTTAAGGCTGATGAGAAAATGGAGCTGGACCCTAAATCCAATGCCAGGCAAGAAACCGCAGTCAGGTGTGTCTGGTCTCATACAGGCAGACTCCTAACTCTGGGAGAACAGTGGGTTTTACAAGCCCAGCAGGACCTGTGGTTTTCTCCTTGCACTACTGGGGATGGAAGTCTAGGGAGCATTCTCCTGCTGAGCCACACCCAGCTTTGGCCATGTTTGTTAGCCCTGCATGGGGTCCACTCAGCAACTACCAGGAAAGACATACTCTAGTGAAAATGATTGCCAAGGCAGGACTCTGGGAATTCTGGACCTTCCTTCCAGGCTCTCGAATTCTGCCTTCTTCCAATTATCTGGGGAAATAAACATGCTCCAACTGAAAGTCTCCTGAAACATAACCAATTTCAGCTTCATTACCACTGCCCTAGAACCCAGAAGTCAGTGAAATACAGTGTACTACACTGCGGGAGCCCCAGCTGTGTGATTGGAAATGAGAAAGCAAAGGCAACTGCTACTAACTTCCTAGGGCTCTATAATAAATCACCACAGATTGTGTGGGCTAATAACACAGAATGTTATTCTTTCATAGTTGTGAGGATAAAAGCTCAAAGAAAATGCATCTATTGGCAAAGCCAGGCTCTCCTGTAGGCTCCCCCAGAGAACATTCCCTATCTCCTCCAGCTCTTGATGACCCAGGTGTACTTTGACTTATATCTTCCCAATTCAGATCTCTGCATCTGTAGCTACAGGGCTTGGTCTGTGCCCCTGCCTCTTTCTCCTGTTTCTTCCAAGGAGGTGGTAATTGGGTTTAGTGCCCTGTCCTCCACCTTCCCTTCCTGTAATTTTTTTTTCTAGAGTGGGATCCTTCATGCTGCTCAACCTGACCTCAGACACTTGGGCTAGAGCATCCCCCTGCCTCAACTTCCTGAGTAACTTGAGCAAAATGCCACACCTGACTAACTACTTATTACACACAAAGGTTGACATTAATATATCTAGAAAATGTTCATTTCAAAGAATTCACCTAACTGTGACAAACATACATTGAAATAGCCCTTCCCAGTCGCTCACTTCTGCAAGAGCAGCACTGACTCCTGTACTCCTCATTCCTGGGTGATATGGTCTCATTCTTTTCTCTGTTTTCTTACTGTTTACTTTTATTCCCTGTCAATCTAGCTAAATGGTTGCCAATTCTGATGTGATGTTTTAAAAACACCATCTTTTCAGCTTCACGATTTTCCCCTTTAGATTTTAACTCTGTTTTGCAGCCATCTCTACTCTAACCCTGTTTCATTTCTTTCTTCTGCTTGTTTGGGGTTTCTCATGAAGTAGAGGATTAAGTTCTTAGTTTGAGGAACATTTTTCAATCTGGGTGCTGACAGCTACGCATTTCTCTCTCAGCGGCTTTCACTGCATAAGTCACAATTATTAGTTTTTTAACCACAAAACCTTTCTATTTCCCTGTCACTTTTCTCTTTGCCTCATCAGTTGTGCAAGAATGTGTGTCTGATTTCCATGTTTTCACAAACTTTCTGTCTTCTGTTAGTCATTGCACATTTCACCAGTGTGGTCAGAGAGTACGTATTGTCCATTTTCCCCATCACATTCATCCCGTCCCATCAGGGTAGACCTGGTCTAACCTGGAGAGTGTTCCATCTTCTCTCAGAAGTGTGTTCTTCTGCTGCTTAGGGATAAAAAGTCCTATGGATGCCTAAAGAATCTGGCTGTCTTATTGTGCTCTTCTGGTAGAATCTTACCTTTCTACCTTGCTGTTCCAGATGTTGCTGAAAGTGAGGCTTTGTCCTCTGCAGCTGTTTCTGCTGTTTCTACTATGTTAATGTGTTTCCTTCTGTCAGGTTTTTCTCATGTATTTGGTGCTCTGGCATTTGATACATACATGCTTATAACCACTATATGTCATCAGTGTTCTAGCTGATTCATATCTCTTAAATGTTTATGTATGTTTAGCAGCATTTTTAATTTATGGTTGATATTACTATAGACATTTTAAGGTGCTTTGTGTTTTAGAAAACTTTTTATTAAACTAAACCTGTCTGTATCTTTGTAGCCAGTGTGTTTCCTGGAGAGAGCATGTAGCTGAATCCAGGTTTTAAATCTAGTTCCATCCCATCTTCCTTCAGCTGGATGATTTGTGTCATCTGCACTCAGTGCTGCATTGATACACTTGGATTCATGTTTGTCTTTTTTCATTTTGGGTCTTCTCTGTGTCTTCACCCTGTTTGTTCCTTGTGTCTCCATCACTGAGCTGTTGTTCTGTGTTATGTGAAGCTTTCCACTGTAAAACGTTGATGCCTTTAACGTGTGGCCTT